CCGCGGGAAATACGGCCCGCTCGGGCGCCCGGGCGTTCGTCAGGAACAGCAAATACGTGAATGGAGCGGCACAAATACGCCCTATTTGACGCTATGGAGCAAGAATTTCCAGGTAAAATGTGTTTTTGTGTATTTTGTGAGTTTGTAAACACTGGATGGGGGGAGGGGGCGAGGTCTAAGGAAATTATATGTGCTTTTATTACAAATAATACCAATTTTTTTTCTCAAGCCCATACCAGCAAAATTATGTAGTTTAAATGCAATATGTGTACTTCTAGTACTCATCACTGATTATGTTATAGTTTAAGAGTTGTTTATTTCTGTGGTACTTGACATGTAAATTGTTGTTTGCCTTGTTCCAAGTTGAAAATACCACTGTGTATTTTTTTCACTTGTTGAACTTGAGGCACCGTGGGCCCCCGGTTAGGGGTCAGCCGGGGAACCTATGCCCGATTTTTTTCAAAATTTTGATGGCATTTTAAGCTCATTCTTATTGTTACAATAAAAGTAAATGGCATTTTGGAGATATATTTTCACTCATATTTGTTTAGCCATGTAGTAGTAATTTATCAAGCCAGCAAACCAATATTTTGCCAAAGTTCCGGACTTGGATATCTACCTACCTACCTACCTTGTCCATCAAAGGACCGGGTCGTCGGGGTGACAGGGTAGTTTTCCTGTGTGCTGCAGCAGTCAGTAGCTCCGGGATTGTCATCCAAATCATTCTCTTCAATGAGCTGACTTCAGTTCAAACTTGAGGTTACAGTATATATACACATTGTACTTACCTGCTGTATTCTTTTTTTATCGTATCAGGAACCCATTTCTTACAAACCTGGGAAGTGTGGTAATGTTGCCATGTGGTGCACAACGACAACCATGGCCACCAACTCTGGTACCCAGGAGAGGTTGTAGAGGATGGGGTGGAGACAGTGACTATCAACTTTTTCCACAAAGTTGCAGTTAACTTGAACCTTCTATTTCTATTAGAAATAAATCTTTAGAACTGCCCAGTATATACAGTGTAAAGAATGTAATGATTTCAGTACACCAAATAGATGTTAGTGCATGTCATACATTGTACACTAGATTAATAATGTTTTATTGACATTGTAAATGCAGTGATAATATTGTATATAGCTACACTTATGATACATTTATTCAATCAAAACAAACATCTGCCATGTTTCTGCCATGTATTGTGCAAGTGTTGAGTTGTAGTACTCTTGATGCAACATGTAACATCATGGCTCATCCAGCAAGTGATATATGTACCGGTATGTGACAGATTCGATCGTGCAATCTTACCGTTGACCTTGACCAAGTTGATCTTGTAATTAGGGCAATTAACATTCAATTTGATGACATTCTGTGGATGTAACATATTGTATCTAATACTAATAGAAGATAACATAATGCTGTACACTGTGGAAGTCTATGAAGTATGTTGCTTAGTGGACTAGTCTAGTACTAGTATTTACAATGCTATATCATGCATATATATATGACTTCGCGGTTACCCAAAATATGGACTTTTTGACCTAAATTTAATCCTTTATGGAGAATTATTAAGGTAAAATAACTGTTTTTATGTAAAAGAAGACTAATGGGTGTTGCTGTGTCTGAAATATTGGAAGACAGGTCTGTTCCCATAAAAAAATACAGGTGTGTGAACTTTGGAGGATTTTTCCCCCTCTAGGGGTCAAAGGTCACGCTACCACCTGACAGATTTGTCGGGAAAAGCATATTTTGACCCGGCATATATACATAATAGAATGTCGTGGAAGTCTGGAACTCTGTGATGTGACTCAATGTAATACATATTATCAATAAATAAGATCAAATAAAATAAGATTTTCACCATTTACTTACCTTTTAATCACCCTTCAAAAATGGTAATTTGTTCATTTTCTCAGTTGATTTCACAATCTGGAGGTTAACGAGGTCAGATTTTGGCAACTTCGTGGAGCCATATCTCAGGAACCGCTCAAGATATTGACCTCATTTAAAAAGCATTTCACTCACCTTGATAAGCTCTTCCAGAAACTGTAAGAATCATCTCTGTATTATGTATTTGAAATTTTGGTTGGAATACCTACTTTAATGGCTATTTTCAGCAAAAAAAAGGCCAAAAGTGCTGTACCCGTTCCATGTTCTATCTAAAGAATGGCCGGTTCCATCCATAAAAACAGGTGTTCCATTGCGGGTTACCTGAGGTCACATTGCACCTAAGTGGTGCGTAATGACCCACACATTCAATTTTATGTGCCTAAGACCTTAAAAATGTATTAAATCTCATCATTGTTAGTTTTTGCATACCTGTAATAAGATTAGTAAAGCTTTCGAGATTCAAAGTACTTGTTGTTGCATCTTTGTTCTCATATAGCTACTATTTAATTTATTTGAGAACCTTTGCCAATTTTGCACTGGGGTAAGTTTGGAATAGTCCACTTTTGCGTGGGAGGGAAATGGACTGAAATATGCTGTATTTGCTCCAAAGCAAATGTCGGCCTTTCTAGTTTAGTAGTACCTTTTCAATTGTTATCAGATGGCATGAATTACTAGGTGACTGCTGATTACATATATGTATATATTACAATCACTTTTTTATATTCTTGAGATTCTCTGTAAAATTGACAATCGTACGAATAGACTTTAGAGCAATACAAAACTTACGATTTAAATTTAGGCTTAGCAACTTACCGTTTTAGTTGTAATGAAATCATTAAAAAAATCCTACCAGTCACACCTTTGAGACGTTTTGCACAAAAACCATAGCAACAAATTAGAATTTCTAACAGTAAACAACAGCATTTTTAAATATATACTGAATTCAAATCTTCAAATTTCCTTTCTGTGATGTTTTTTTTTAAATATGACCAGACAATTGAATTACAGCTAAAGTTTGCACTGTTGACATTTGTGTCACAAATTAGTTTTAAAAAACTTAAAACTGACCAAAATGTGGAAATTCTGCCTATTTACAAAGCAAATTAAAGTTGTGGAACCAAGTTGACAGTCATGTAAATAACTTGAGGTTTTGCAGCCTGAAAAATCCTCCTTATTTCGTTTTACGTACATTTATATGTATTACAAAGTAGATCCTTAACAAAAACAAGTCGAATCATATAGCAGCGGAGTAGTAAGAAGAGAAGGTGATCAAATAGTTTGAGAAGATGTGTGTACAAAAACTTCTAGCTGCAGTGTATCTAATGGGGATACGTCATTCTGTAGGTCACCTGTATAGTAGCGTGTTACCAAGACGATATACACCAAAATGGTATATAAGGGAGGGAGGGAATGAGGGAGGGAGGGAGGGAATGAGGGAGTGGGGGAAGTGATGGAGGGAGGGAATGAGGGAGGGAGGAGGGGGAAATGAGGGACGGAGGGAATGAAGGAGGGAGGGAATGAGGGAGAAAATGAGGGAGGAAATAGGAGGGAAGTAGGGAAGAAGGGAGGAAAGGAGGGAGGGAGGGAATGAGGGAGGAGAGAGAGGGGTTGTTTCGGACAATAGGCAACCTTCTTGTAAACAATAAATACAACTGAAAGTCGTGGCCTAAAAATGAAATGGTTTCGTCACTGTTGAAATATCAGATGCAATAAATTTCAGTGAGACATGGCAAACATTACCATTTGAACCTTTCCAGGTATGATCAAGAATTTTTTGATACCCAATGCCTACAAAGTATATATACGCTACTGTATAGAACATGAGATGTTGAACATGTTGAACACAACATGAACATATTGAACATGAACATGAACGTATTGAACATGACATGTTATGAAATCAAGAGCTACTGTGAAATATTCCAGTTATTTTAATTACTGGCAGGGTGGTTTTCGGTCATGTAATTTTTCTATAATTACATTTCTTTGCAATATCTTTGTTTCCGTTAATTCTTGATTCAAGCATCTTTATTGTGTTTTTTGGCAATATCTTTGTTTCATTTTGCTTTATTATTACAGTAGATTCATTATTATTATTTCGTAATTCTGCAGGAGACGGACTCCATATTAACCTTCTATGCTTCCTACGTACCCCAACTCAACACTTTTGTAATTTTATTCGTAATCTAATATGTGTATATTATATGAAGAAAAAATTGAAAAAAAATTGCTATAATACTTGTTGCTAATTGCATATAAGAAAAAAAAAGAAAAGAAAAAAAATCTTCAAGTCACTAACAGGATGCTGCAACAGTATGAGCGAAAAATACGGTTAGAGAAGTGATATTTTCTATAAACCTCATTGGTACCACAAATATCATAGGATTGTCATATACTATGGCCACAAAATAATACAACCATGTATTATTAACATGACATTTAGATCAGACCTCACTTGCCTGCATGGAGGCAAATGGTAGCTACATGACATGTATATTTTACATTACGGCAGCGTTTACAAGATATCAATGTGTACAAAATTAGCATTGGTAAACAATTCCAAACCTTTTGTTCTCTCCACTTTGAAAAGACATTACAAAATAATGTTTTGGATTAAGGCATGACAACACAATTTCTCCGCTACCACAAGCTAAGATATATAGAAACTAGAGTTCCATGATCTCATACCTTCGCCAAATGATGTTAGCCTTTATGACTAAGAAATTGTAGATTAATCCCCTTGATTATGCAAATAGGATCCTATATTGCATCAATTGTACCTGTTGATCATATTCTACACCAGAAGACAATGTTATCTTATCAAAGAATGCCATTATAGTATTTCCTCATAAATTATACAAATGAGGTCCTTATTTGAATAAGTTATGTTTAATTACGTTCACCTTCACATATCTTTCAAATATACCAAGTATGAAATTCCTAATGAAGACCTACCCACTTACCAAATGTCAAGATAATCCATCTAAGCTTTCTCAAGTTATGCTGTTGACACACAGACAGACAGACAGACACACGGTCAGGAAAACATAACCTTCGTCAATTCTTGGTGAAGGTGAAAATCATATGCCCCTCGTCATTTCTCGCACATCTATCAGAAAAGCTAACGCAGGATCGCACAGAGCTTGAACGGCTGCGGGGCCAAGGTCAGTCCAAGGACGCCGTCAGTGGTTGGAGGAGGAGCGCCCTCTGGCGTCCTGAATGTGAAGGATTGCAGCAGGGTGGAGAAGAACAGGAACAGCTCCATCCTGGCCAGCTGCTCCCCGAGACACACACGTCGGCCTGGAAATAATGAATTTCACGACGTAAGACCAGGTCACGTCAAATAAAGTTCATGAGATCATTACTGCAGTTCCAATAATGATATCTAAACCTCACCTCCCGAAAATGGCATGAAGGACTCAGGCTTGTTGATAACGTTCCCTTCCGCGTCCAGAAACCTTCCGGGGTCAAACCGGTCCGGATCAGGCCAGTAGGCGGGGTCCATGTGGAGTGAATACAGGTTTGGTAGTACCTGGATGAAATAAAAAGAGAGAGATTTTTGTTCCGACACCAAGAACGGTTATCATTTAGTGCCTTTGACCTGAGCAGTCACCTTGGTCCAATAAAGTGACTAAGTGAGATGTGTCAGGTAGCTTCTCAGAGGTTTGACGTCAGCACTGAGTCAAAGGTATCCAGTAAACAAAGAAATTGTGCTAATAAATGTGAAGTAAATGTCAATATCACGCATTTGCCATAATCCAGTATTTTATATCTATTTTTGTTGCCCAGAAATTGCATTGGATGAACATATCAGTACTGTATAGTAACGATACCTTGGTGCCCTTAGGGATGTCATATTCCCGTACTTTGACCGTCTCTGTGGTGGCGTGGGGGATTGTAAAAGGCCCGACGGGCCGGATCCTCATGACCTCCAGCAGACAGGCGTTCACGTAGGGCAGCTGGGAACGGTGGGACAGGGCGGGCAGACTATCACCAACAACGGCATCAAGCTCCTCTTGTACCTGTTTAAGCGAAGTTGTATTAGCGGAAACATCGTGTGACTTTTCTAGAAGTCGCAAGAAGGGGAATGTTAGGTGGCTAGTGAAGGAATGCAAAGAAAGGGAACTGCTAGTAAAAGGACTGATTTCTGGAAATCTTTGGCAGGGTTTCATGAGTCCGAGATAGACAAACATATCCAGCTGTCCAGTACCTTATTCTGGATGTCGGGGTGCAATGTCATGTAGAGCAGACTCCACAGCAGGGTGTTGGTGGTTGTGTCTGTCCCCCCGAGAAAGAGGTCCGTTGCCATGTACATGACGTTCTCCTCCGTCAGACCCTCCACCTTTCCCTGCTGTTCAACTTCCAGCAGACAGAAGTCCAGGAAGTCTCGCGGGTTCTCGCGATCCAGGTTCTCGCGATGACTGGTTATCTCGTCCCACACTACTCGGTGAATCTTGGAGTTCTGTTTAAACACTTCCTTGCATGTCCTGTTTACTAGAAAAATAAGAACAGAAGGTGAATTGATGGAAACTGCCATTCAACAAATTACTAGTATTTTGTCAGCATTAAAGAAAATACTGATAGTCCGTGTTAATGACATTTACACTCCGTCAGAGGATATGTTATTGGATTCAACTTTCTGTCCACGCCAATTAATGCAAATTAATTCCAAATTTACATAATCTATATCTGTCTACGTTTCTCTTGTTCTCAATTACATATGCAACAAGCTTGAATAGTTCTATCATCTAATGAAACTGATTTATATAATTTCTTCATACATTATGCAAATTACATCCACGTTTCTATAATTGCCATCATATCATCATGTCAAGCATCACTTACATATCCTAACAGTCAAGCTACCTACATACCAAAAATGTTGATGATCTGTCAACCGGTTCTTGAGTTATCCTTTTTTGAATTTTATTAAACAAATGGGCCTGCAGTCCAGAATGAGCTGCTAGGGGTCCAAACTTTCTCTCCCAGCACAAGCACTATAGTACTACCTACCATCCAAATTTCGAGACCCTTGCATGTCTAGGTCATGAGGTATCAAAACCGGAAATTCTGCTGCAGAACCATAGCAAGCTGCCAGGGGGCCCAAAATCTAATTATTTTGAGGTCTTATCAACACCTACCCACCTACTAAATATCAAGACAATCCATCAAAGCCTTCTTGAGTTATCGTGTTAACAAACAAACACACACACACACACACACACACGAACGCCCCTGAAAACATAACATTTTTGGTGAAGGTAATGAACGAATGTAACCGCACTTCATTTTATTGTGTAATATATATAAATGATACTCACTTCCAGGGACGAACCGTAAGACAGGGAAGGCGCTGAAGATCTGTCCTGCTCCAATTTCAGCCATGACGCTTGCGATCGCCTTCCCGAGTTCGCGGAACGTTTCATCCCCGTAGTCGTAGCGCTTTCCGAACGTCATGGAGCAGATGACGTTTGCAACAGCGACGGTTATATCGTTTGAGACGTCGAATGGCTCTTCCTCGTATTCTGTCATCTGAATTTTCGGACGACATATGTTGTTTTGTGCTTAGCAGGGTCGATGATTTTTTTTTTATTCTAGACACATCCGTGAATAGTTTTGGCAAGTCAATGAATATTCACCCGACGTTTCGGTGACCCATGTCACCTGCCTCAGGGCAATTCTGACGGATTTACATTACACAGCATACTTGCAGGTGACGATGCTAATAGATGCGTTCCCAAACGCAAAGTATTTACATATATGCACATCTATACAGAGAACGATATCTACAATGCGGTCCCAAACGTTTAGACGTGTTGTATATACATGTAATTGATGACTAAAACAACAATAAACATTTACTTCTTTATAACGTGCTCCAAAACGCCTGCTAGATAAAACTATTGGTTGCGTAAAAAGGAGAGAGTCTATCTACGCATATTTCTTTTACCGCACGAAAAAAAAAATGATCAGCTAGGAGAGTGACAAATAGTTAATGAGCTATCAGCGACAGCAGACTGCACTATCTTACAGGGACCATTACAGTCTACAGACGCACATATAGATAGATACAGAAAGGGAGGAGGGAGGGGGGAGGGGGTAAAATTTACGTAAATTTGGTTAAATGAAAAAAAATAGTTTTAAGCAATTAGAGACAAAATGATTTTACACCCTTGCTATATCGTGACCCTCCCAGTCCACCAGACGCACATGTAGATATTAGAGACAAAGAGGGGAGGTTGCGAAAATGTTTTGATTTGGTCTTACCCTGTTGCGGAGACAGCTCGCCTCCTCTCGGATTTTCTCCTCGATGCTGCCAGGTCCCACCTTCATGCCCAGGTTCTTTAAGGCGGTGAGTGCGAACCTCTTTCTCTGTTTGAACTCGGTCCCCCAGCGTGCAGAGCCGATGTCTTGAAGAAAAGAGACTTCTTATTAGCCTCTTATCTTCTAGTTACATTGCAGCTGTTCTGTGGTTTATGTGAGAATCGTGGTCTATATGATGTAGCACACAGGTTTGTCAAATACCCCATAGATTGAAGGAGACTTGCAAGAGTACCTTCTCTAATTCTGCTCTAGTGCGGTGAAAAGACTATATTTTAAATTTTTTCCATGATCGATATGCCATCGCTGTACTTTCTTGCAAACAGACGACTCTAGCTATGTACTGTCCTCGACTTCCTCGGAAATATTAACTATCTTAGTATGCTATTAGTTGAGTATACTAAGTGCTTGAAAGCATGTATATCTGATATGTAGAGCTGTATGTATAGCTGTATATCTGACAAAAAAGAAGGACGAGTTACGTATACGTACCCTTTTGGTTACCAAAGACAGCATCGAACATATAATTTGGCGGCCTGGAGGCAAACAGCTCGGACCTGTCCACGAGCGCGTCCTTGACGGCAGTGTAGCCGTTCAAAACCACCGCATCTTCCATCCCCATTCTGACGGTGAAGACGTCCCCATACTGCCGCCTCCACGCCGTCAGCTTGAGGTGAGGCGCTCGGCCCAAGGCGAGGAGGTGCCCGAGAACAGGCACACGTCCTGCCGGATAGGGAGGCAGGTTTTCGCTGCGCTTCAATACGAAACACGCCATGAAAAAGACCGTAAAAAAGACGAGAAAAGACTGCAGAGTCAGCCCAGAGATGTGTAAAATCTCATAGAGGGACTCAATTATCCACCCGACGATTACGGCCATGTTTGTAAAGAATGCAGACAACATGCGCAGCTGAAATGCGTTTAGCCTGTGGCCATGACCCGACGCGGTCATCCGGTAACTGATTACACCGGGATAACCGGGTCAAACTACTTTTATTCCTGTCATTCAATTATGGATGAAGTATATATTTTTTACCCATTTGTGTTTCCTCTCCTTTATCTTCTTATGTCGTTTGGAAAACGTGATTAAACTTCTACGTTTTTCGGCCGAATGATCTAAAATTCGGTATAAACTTCTAGATAGTGTGGGCCGATACCACCACCCCGACATTCTTTGTCTTTTTTACATACTAGCCTTTAAAAAGATTATTTCCATTTTCAGAACAAAACTGTACATTTGAGGAGCTAAATGCCTGGTTTTGCACCGTAATTGAACACGTTTCTACCTTCAACAGTTAATTGAGATACATTGGCAACAGGATTTTTTGTCTTTATGTATTTTAATAGGCATGTCAAAAATTTCCTGCTCCAGCATTCGAATGCCAGAGAAAATCAACAATTTGCATGACGTCACTAAAATGATTCTTCGAATGTTTAGTATAAAATTAACTTAAAAAGTACGAAAAGCAGGACGTGTGACAGGGTGGTCATTAAAAATTACTGTTTAAAGATTTCTAGCACAGTTTTACTTAAAATTTCTAATACTGAAAAGCACTACAACGGGGTTTTGTGTATATTTGTTACTAAAAAGCACTGTGAAGGTTTCGAGAATATTTTACTAATAGTAATTTATGTATATAGGGGAAGGCATGGGGTTTTTGAAACAATACAGTGTATTACATGATAGAAAAGTTGATATGAAACAGTCCACTTAGGATTAAGAAGGCAGATGGACTGACATATGCTGCATTTGCTTCCGAGCAAATGTCTGCGTTTCTGTGTACACTGTTTGAAGTCTGTCGTCTGAAATGCAAATAAATGCCTTGTAGCAGACCAGTCTTGCTAATCGTCCCTTAGATCGAGGGGAGTCACAGAAATAGACATGGGATATGCCTAATCTCTTCTTCTCTTTCAGTGTGGCGGTAAAAGTGTTTCTCTCCTTGTCCTGTACCCTATCAATGTTTCTCCATGACAAGAAAGAATTCTTTCCCTCAGGGCTTGCGGCAGCTATTTTATGTCAAGAATGCAGTAGACGTATGGCCCTGCATACTTTACATGGCATATAACCTTTCTGTGGCCTGGCTTGCCGAAATGTCTAAGTATCAGACTTTGTTATTGGCAGGTAGGGGTGTACCAAATCAAGTTTGGTAGAAGTCACCATCCATTTAGCATGTTTGCCAGTAAAAATAAAAAATCGTAACATAACTGAACTTTTAATAAGCTATTACCATAACTGTTGTACGCTGACATTTACAAAAAAAAAGATATAGATTTTAAGCACATTGTATAAACATCACTCTCTCGTTCTTTCTCTATCTCTCTCGCTCGCTTTCTCTCCATCTACAGTACAAAAGCTATGCAATGATTAAGCATCACCCACGCATAGAAGATTGGTACAGTCCGAAAATGTTTTGCACGAATACAATTTTTTTTGTAAATCTTTCTTTGTGGTTTGATACGCTATAGTTTTTAAAAATAATCCATGATGGACAGTTTGAAATTATGAGGTTAAACTCATTATCATAATTTATGCACCTCATACGAGATGCCTACAGGCAGCCGTATTGATGACCTTCGTCCCATATCCAAAGCCGACCCTCCCCGGTGTCAAGCCAAATACATGATCCTACCAAATACATGACTCCGGCACTACTTGGGGGTTTCCAATATACCTGAGACAAGGGGGGGGGGTTGGTGGTGATGTGGGAGACTAAGCCTAACCTAACCCTAATCGTGAGTCTAACAGTAGTCCTGAACAATGATCCCAACTCTAACCCTAACCCTATCTTTAATACCTACCCCAACCCTTACTCTAATACCAACCCTAACCCCAGCCCTAAACACCTGGCCTCTCACGTATGTGGCAGCTCAAGGATTTTGCTCAACACCGGTACATTTGGCTTGTTCTTACAATAGCCAGATTCTGAGACGACCGCCCCCTGTCTGGTCGTTCTTGAATTGCAGAACGCCCTGTCAACCAGGAACCCGCGTAAGGCTTTTGTTGTCAAATGAGCCTTAACATTTTTTTTCTTTAAATTATTCATTACACCCTAACACCTTTACAAATTGGGTGTATGTGTGTGTGTGG